CTTTGTCTTCTTTTTGAGATAAATTTTGCATCCCAGTATGTTTGCGAAAACGAATGTGGTTGTGATTCACATTATCAAAATGAAGTTCTCTCTCTCTCTCTCTCTGGTACTGAATGTCTTTCATAATTGAAAAAACACAGCAAAGTCTCAGATTAAAGGTTCTCAAAACTGTGTTACGCAGTGTGGTCTGGTTGTTCATAGGTTTTGGGTGGTGATTTCGGGTGTCTTAGATGGAACAAAATACCTTTAAAAGTGACACAAAACAAGAGCTTGGAAAAATAGCCATTCTGGATAAGGGATTCTAAGAATTGTAGTCTTAAAGTAACTTTTCCAAGCACTGCATAAAACTAGCATCAACGTTCCCAGATACATAGACTAGGTAACTGTGCAGTTTAAAAACTTTATTGTAAAGGTCAAAGCAGAAAATATAGATCCTTGACATTCAAAAAATATGCATGTGGAAGCTTGGAGCCAAAGATGTAGCTGATTATTTTACATCAACAAGGGAATATCAGCCTTCTGTTGTTTTACCCATTCTTGGGATTATTATTTTTTTCTCATTCTTGTTCTCCCTGGCCTAGTTTGGAGATAATGAAAGCATGGTGAAAAATAAACGTACATCAAAAAGATTCAGTTATGTGAGGGTTCGGATTTTGGCTCCTTCCTTCTTTCGAATGAATCAGGAGATTTTTGTACCTTTGAAACAGGGGTGAGGTTTATTGGAGTATTTGACAAATAGCCGGTATCAGCAAAATTGTCCCATTGTTTTTCTCCTGCTGACAACGGCTCAGTCAGGGGTTTCCGTCCTTCAACTAGGAACAGGTTTCCTTCAGCAGCATTCCATGGACCCGGCCAGTCTGTTGAGGCGTTCAGATTCATCGCTGGTTCTGTCTCTCCATCCAGTAGGGGTATGGTGTCATCCATCATCCCGGTCTTCGCTCCACCCGGTCTGTCCACCTGGTATGGGGGGGTCTCTCAGGGTCTTCCTTGTATCCCTTCTTCCTCATTTTGCTCATCCTCCATTCTATTCTCCTCTTCTCTTTCTACTCTCTCTTTCTCTTTTTTGAGCTTTCTCCGCCACTCTCTGGCTTCAGCTCGGTGTCATCATCCTGGTCTTCGCTCCACCCGGTCTGTCCGCCTGGTATGGGGGTCTCTCAGGGTCCTCCTTGTATCCCTTCCTCCTCATTTCGCTCATCCTCCATTCTGTTCTCTCCTCCTCTTCTCTTTCTACTCCCTCTTTCTCTTTCCTGAGCTTCCTCCTCCACTCTCTGGCTTCAGCTTCTCCCCAGTAAGAGTGTCTCGAGGGAACCTCCCTCCCTTGCCTGTCGTCAGCCTCCTCTTTTGGAATCCTTAGCCTTTCCCTGTTCCCGCCTCTATCTCCACCCTCTTCTTCCGTTCTATTCCCGCCAATCTCTCTTTGAGTTCCCTCGGCCATTAAACCCCGTATCTCTCTTTCTAATTCTTGAATATCTGTCCCCCAATGTTCTGTTTTCTTAGCGGGTGAAGCTGGTAGAGTCTGCACCTCTTTGTCGACAGTGTGGGGAAGGGATGGCACTCCAGCGAGAGGTTTACTACTCTTGCTCCCTGTCTCACACAGAAACCTAGGAAGATAGAAAGCTGCGTTGCACCAGTCAGATCCTTGATCCATTTAACTCAATAGCATCTGGTCTGACTAGCGACAGCTCCCAAATTTTTTTAAAAAATCTTGCTCTACCTGAAGACTGAAATTCAGTAATACGCAAGACATGCAAAGGTGGATTTGCTCACATCCTCCATTGCATACTTGCTTTGAAATTCCAGAAAATATGACCAAATCTAATTTCGGTTTGATTTTGTCATATTTGTTTTTTAGCAAAAAAAACACTACAATCTCAGAATTTTAGACTATAATATGTTAATAGGACACAGTTGCAACATTAACTAAATGTCCAGGTAGGGACAAAAGGCACAAAGAACTTTAACTCAGTGTTACATGCACAAGAGTTGAAAAGTCTGAGCCATCTTAAAGAGAATTGATTTTAAAATTTATAAAACATATAAATGGAGGCCAAACCATTGTATTAAACAGATTATCGAGGAAGTAAAAATTTTGCACTTTAAAACACAAACTTATATCCTTCAAAATACAAGACAACTCTTTAAAGTGACTCTACCTTGGCAGAGGTAGGAACATCTGCATGGGGGCTATTCACATACAAAGCCCATGTTCCACTTCTAATTGTGAGCTTCGGATCCTTCCCCAGACAGCACCAGGGATGAGATTTTCTGGACTGCAGACACCATAGTTCTCCATTCGGGGAGTTCTACTTACCTTGTAGGCACCTTGCAAAAACCTGTGATTGTACATGGAAGAAGGATCTAAATTTTGAAGTCTTTGAAGTTTAGCTAGGCCAAGCTCCACCTAAGCCTCCTGTCCCCATGCTTGCTGAGTGCTTTCTTTCTGAAAATCAAGCTTGGGCCGAAGCTAAGACTCAAAGCCTTCCAGTTGATACCTTTCTTCCAGATGCATCACATCCAGGTGTTTATAGGAGTCAGCAAGGTAGGTACAACTGCCAGAATGGAGAATTATGGTATTAATCATCCAGAAGATCTGAAAATTTCATTCCCGTAAAGTATCACCTGACAGTCCCCATCCATGTACTTGTACCTGCTTAATTTCTGAAATCAGATGAGATTTGCCACATTCCGGGTGGTATGGTGGTCGACAGCTTAGGCTTCTGCCCTCCCTTCCTCTCTGGAAGCACCAAAGGAGACATCCAGACGCCTCTATTTTTGAACTGCCCTTATGGGCTGTTTTGTCTCAAGACCGGAAAACTGTGATTTGCTCTGATTTATAGTTTATGACAACAAGCCGGAAACAAAAGCTGCTTTCAGACTCTGGCACGTGCTCCTAAAACAATGTAAACACTTTTATTTATTTAAAATACTTTTTGTATTGCATTTTGAAGCAAAGCATCCTGAAGGCAATTGATAGATTAAAACTTCAAAAACAATAAAATAAAAAAATGCAATTAACTAAAACAGCAGGATGGAGCACTTAAAATAACAATATGATGGTCTAACAAACCACAGGTTGGGCCTAATGGGAGTTGTGTTACTAAGACTGGACGTTTCTGGCTTCTTCCTCCTCCTGGTCATTGGGGAGATGCTTGTATTGGAACAGGGTTAATCCCTTCTATATTATATTTTCCTCTCATGTGTCTGAACCACTACTTCTCTCTCCTCCTAGCCTCCACTCTGCTTGGTCTACTCCATAGGTGGGCATCTCCAGTACTGCATGCTGGAATCTCACCCTCCTGTTTGTGCAGCAGCTACTGGGTGTACTGCCATGCGTCAAACGTAGGGCAAGAGGTGGCACATTCTCACATTCTTTCTCTTTAAGGCAAGCTATGTGGATAACTCTGTGGTTTAGGTATCTGGCAGTGGTGCCAGAGGTTGGGAGTTTGATTCCCTGCTGTGCCTCTAAGGAGACAGGCAGCCTGGGTGGCCTTGGGAAAGCTGCACAATCCCAGGGCGCCCCCCCCCCAGAAGAAGGGAAGGGTCAACCACTTCTGAGGATTCTCTACCTGGAAAACTCTGAAAAAGAGACACTGTAAGTCAGAATTGACGTGGCAGCACAGGATTATTTATTCTATTGTGCGGGGAGAGCAAGCCTGGTTTTTAAGCCAATCCATACTTCTAGAAAGTCTCCCAGAAGCATAATTTTGCTTAAAAACCAAGGTGCACCCTCTGTCCTTGCCTTGTTTTAAGATGAGAAGATATGGGATGGTTCTAGCACACTACCGAAATTCTGGAAATATTAGCCAGAACTTGTTCACCCAGCCTACTACATTTTGCCTTTATCTCTCAAGGACTTTTCCTCCCCCTTTCATTAATACCTTGAACAGCTTGACCAGTGGAAGCCAGGGAGAGCATGCGGCGTTGTTTCAGCAGCTCAAGAAATGGCCACCCAAGAAATGACTGCCTGCCGTACCCCTCTATGCCACTGGAGCAGTTCAGCCAGTCACTGTAAAACAGAACGTCACTACTGCAACGTCTATAGCTAGAGAGCTTTTGGGTCTGTGTATTTTAAACAGCTGATTGGCTAGACAACTACGATTCTTCTCCATTGGAATGCATTAAACAGGTTTCACTGCATTCCAATTGGGAAATGCTTTTCGCTAGACGATTTCGCTAAATAGCGATTTCAGTGGAATGGACTATCATTGTCTAGCGAGGTACCCTTGTATTCTATAAATACGTACTTTCTTTGGGGCAGTCTTGCTTCACAAGCCATCTAAACCAGTGGTTCTTAACCTTTTAAACTAGCCTCCTGGGTTCTTCGGCCAATTGGTTCTTGTTTTTGTTCTTCTTTCCCTATTTATTTTACCTTGAATGATCAGCTCTCCTGGGTTCTTCGGCCAATTGGTTCTTGTTTTTGTTCTTCTTTCCCTATTTATTTTACCTTGAATGATCAGCTGTATGAATCTGTACTTTTTATTTCTTATGATAGGATCAAAATATTCTAACTCTTTGCTGTTTGTGGATTTTATACTTTCCTAGTCTTTATTTCTCATGGTGCTTCTTCAATAGTAGTACTCAAGCCAATAAATTCTTAGTTTCCACCAAATACTTTCTTTGGGGCAGTCTTGCTACACAAGCTGTCTAAACTAGCCTCCTGGGTTCTTTGGCCAATTGGTTCTTCTTGTTTTTGTTCTTTCCCTATTCATTTTACCTCGAATGATCAGCTGTATGAATCTGTACTTTTTATTTCTTATGATAGGATCAAAATATTCTAACTCTTTGCTGTTTGTGGATTTTATACTTTCCTAGTCTTTATTTCTCATGGTGCTTCTTCAATAGTAGTACTCAAGCCAATAAATTCTTAGTTTCCACCATTCCAGCCCTTCTGTCTTTGTTGTACAGTTGCCTTTGTTATCTGAGTACTCCGTTTTATTCTGCATTGTTGTACGATTTTAAGACTCATTGTTCGTTCTTTGTTCCTTCCTTTCTCACCACAGGCAATGTTTCTGGAAATCAAAGCACATCTATGAGTGGCACATTTACAAGCGACTCCACAACGACACAACAAGGGAAAGTGTTTTTCAGCTCGCTCGCTCCCAACGCGGTGGTGTACGCAGTCCCAAATTCGAGTCAGGTGATCGGACCAGTGAAACAAGAAGGACTGGAAACCAGCCTGGTCTTCTCTCCAGTGATGTCGTTTGGACAGAACACGCAACTTCCTGCAGGCTTGCCTTCAGACAACCTCTCAGCTGGTGGTCTTCAGCCAGGCACTTCCTCTTTAGTCAACGTGACTCTGTCGCACAACTATCCCCTGGGGTCCCCCGCTCTTTTAAGCACAGAAGAACTCAGCTCAGCCGTGTCTGAGAGCGTACCAGTTTCGGCTGCCAGCACCAGCGGGGCGACCGTCGTTTCTGTCAGCAATGCAAACTATGCCACGCTTCAAAACTGCGCCCTCCTCTCCGGCCACGAGGTGATGTCCATTTCGACGACCCAGCCCGCCCTCGGAGGGACCGGTCTTCCAACGGGCAGTCATGCCGAACCCCACCCATCACTGCAGGTCCACCCCCATTTCGCGCGAGAGCAGCGTTTAATCTTACAATCGGTACCCAACTTAAAAGAGAACTTCTTGTCGGATTCGGAAAGCAAATCAGCCAGTCGTTTGCTCATGCTAGATTCGAAAGCCAAATACGTCATGAGTAATATGGTCGATGCACTTTGTGAAGAGATGGGTGCAGACAAAAAAGAGCTGGCCAAACTCCAGACAGTACAGATGGATGAGGAGATGCAGAACTTGTAGTAACGCTACTACTTAACAACGACAACATAATTGGATTCCCACTTCCGTTGGGAAGCCTTCTCCCCCAAAAACCCTGGAAGCACAGAGTGAAGTTTTATTTTTCTTCCCTTGTCTAGTCAAAATATGCATACACGACAAACCAAAAAGCACATTTGAAGAGTCCCCTTTAAATGAGGTCTCTGTTCGAAATAGGAGGTTGCCATGAATTGTTTGCATGAAAACTGACCTTCGTTGAATCTGCTTTTAAGGGCCTGTCGTTTGGCGGGGGGAGGGGGGAGAGAAATACAGTCAGATAAGCGATGGTGTGGCTTACTAATACCCACATAGTTTCATTAGACATGCAACAACACTTCAGTGTATTTTCAGAAAGTATATCCTCTAAAATATTAGCTAAGAATTAGAATTCTCCTTCGCAAGAAAATGGGGAGAGGAAGGAACAGAGCTTGTGGTTCTTCGATGTGGATGCAAGATTATTGGTGCACGTTGGACATTGGAAAGTTTTCAGTTTTCATTAATGCTAAGTGATATGCCAGCTAATACCTCACAAGGTACTACCTTTTTGGTTGTGGCTTAAAAAGCAAGCACATTTGCAAATCATGTTTGTTTTTCCCCTGTGTGTCTATCTGTGTGCGTGTGTCTGTGTGTCCTGAAGAATCCTAACAAGATGAACAGCCTTTGCTGGTTTTGAAAGGCACAACTTTTTCTTCTTACTCTCTTAGGAAAGTTTTCGAAGCCATGCTCCTTCAGGGTTGGGGGGACCCCCTTTTGAAGTTATGCCACCCAGGGTCACGTTGCTCTACCATGTGTATAAATACTGTTTTAATGGCTCTAAAGGAAGCCCCTATTTTTTTTATTGTTGAGACGAATTCTGTTCATAGCTCATGGTGTCCCTTGATCATTTTTTGAAGTGTTGAACATTCTGGCCTTTTTGTCTGCTTGTTTGTATGTTTTCATCGGCCTGGGTGCTTAATTTATATTTTGTTTCTTCTTCGTGGCCTCTGTGAACGCACACAAATGGGTTAGACGGCGCCTGCGCAGGACCCCTCGGAATCTTCTAGAGCTTAAAAACATGTGATTGTTAGGACGTTTCTCCATGGTGCGCATGCTCCGCCTGCCCGTAACACCTCAGTTCCTTTTTGCCGCCACTGCGATCGGACTCTTTCGTGTCTAGAGCTGTTTTTTATTTTATTTTATTTAACTTATATGCCGCCCACTCTACCCAAAGGTCTCTGGGTGGCTCAAAACAATTAAATACAACTAAAATTGTAAATACAAATACAATAAATACAAATACAATTTACAAATACAATTGTAAATAAAAATACAATAAAAAGATAAAAACAATTAAAATACAGTTAAAATAGATACTCTAAAAATTGCCATCAGGACCCACAGTTGATATTATTTCAATTAAAAGCATTTTTCTATTATTCTGGTTTTTGATTCTGGTCTGGTTTATTGAATATTGTTTCTAATCTCTGGAGAATTTTAATTTATGGACTAACAACGGTATATGGTTATCGGATTTTGGATTGGCTACTGTTTGTTGTTTCTGGGCTATTCTGACCATCGGATTGCTTACCGTTTGTGATTTTGGATTATGGACTTTATTGTGAAAATTTGGCTTCTGATCTTTTCGGATTTTGATCTTGGACAATCGTTGAAGTTTTCCCGTGAGTCTTCCTTTTCCCCCCATTTCCCCCCTTTGTCTCCTGTTCCCGCCTATTTTTATGGCCTCATCAGGTCCCTTTAAGTATTGTACATCGTGTGGCAACAAGATCCCTTTCATGGACAGCCACGACCGCTGCTTATTTTGTTTGTGGGAGAGGCACCAGACTCACTCCTGTTCGGAGTGTAAAAAGTTGACATAACCTGTCCTTGAGCCCCATGAGCCCCGTTTACAGAGGTTTTGTTCATATCTGTGGGAAAAATCGCTCACACCTTGACTCGTGCTCCTCCCATTCCTCGTCCCGAGCCCGCTGCTTCATCGGCTCCTGCTGCCCCTTCTCCGAGGTCTCCTTCGAAGGCATCTAAACTGACAAAGTCTTCGGCATTGGCGTTGACCTCGATGCCGAAATCACCATCCGAGAAAGATCCTAAGAAAAAGAAAGATGTTGTTAAATAGAAGGCTAAACAATCTTTTAAACCTACTCAGCCTCGAGAACTTCCTCCAATACGAATCTCCCTTCCATCTCCGATACTTGAGGAGTTGTCTCGGGAGTTGCCAGACCTGGACTCCCTTTCTGAAGGGATGGACTTGGCACCACCACCACAGGCTCAAGCTTCGGTATCGATACCGAGCCTGTCTCCCAGTCATGGCCTTTCTGAGGTTGATGTCATCTCTAGCCCGGCCTCGCCCATTCTAGCCCTATGTCAATCAAGCGGGCAACAGTGATACAACTACAGTGGTGCCTCACATTACGACGTTAATTCGTTCCAGCGAAATCGCTGTAGAACAAAAATGTTGTAATGCGAAAATAAAAAGCCCATTGAAATGCATTGAAACCCCTTCAATGCATTCCAGTGGGCTGGAAACTCACTGTCCAGCGAAGATTCTCCATAGGGCAGCCATTTTCAGTGCCTGTGCAGTGAGGAATCCATCCCAGAAAACAGTGGGGAGCCATTTTATTTACCTGGCGGCCATTTTGAAACCGCCGATCAGTTGGAGGAAAATCGTTTTGCGAAGAATCGGTTCCCGAAGCAGGGAACCGATCATGGCAAAGCGAAAAAAAAACCATTCAGACCATTGTTTTGTGATCGCAATTGCGATTGCAAAAAGATCATTGCAATGCGGTTTTGTCGTTATGCGGGGCAATCGTAAAGCAAGGCACCACTGTATTGAACTCAGAGGTGTCCCCACGGCATTCTCCTCCATGTAAATGACTGGCGAAACGTCAACATGTTTCTCCAACCTGAGAGCTTCCTCGACATTGAGAGGTCACACTTCTTCCTCCCCTGTCTCGGTGTCATACGTATTCTGAGTATGAGGAGCCAATTTATGTAGAGATTGATCGACATGGTGGTTGAGGTTGATACTATGAGGACGACCTTGATCCTTTCTATAACACCGGTGATTACATCAGGCCCAAGAGTGTGTGTTATGTATATGCCCCTCCTTCTGGATCCTTGCCATTGCCCTCACGTCCTCCACGTCGGCATCAAGCCTATTGGCAACTTGACCCTCCACCATTGAAGCCTGCTGCTAAACGCCATTTGTCTCGGCAGGACGCTGCTCATCAGACATCTCATCCTTTGAAGAGCTCTTGTGCCCCATTGGTACCATCATCTTTGATATTGCACCCACGAGCCTCTTGCACTCAATCAGCTCGTCAGGGTTCACCTGAAACAGACACATCCCTACCGATTCCCCGAGCTTCAATTTCCATGTCAAGAGGTCGTCCTCGCTCGCCTTCTCCACCTCTTTCCTTTACTAGGGGTTCTTCGGTATCATCGGTCTCTGATCAAGATCCACCTTCGGAAGCTTCCAAAGAGTCTCCTTCAAATTTGCCAACACCAGATTCAGATGTTGCTGACCTTCATCCCCTATCACCATCTGAAGACTTTACATCATACTCGCAACTAATTATTCACATGGCGAAATCTTTGGAGCTGGATATCAAGCAACCCCCTCCTCCCCGGCAAGACTTTGTTTTTAATTATATAAACCAAGATAAATCCCCCCGTTAAGCTTGGCTTTCATTCCAGCTATGCTAGACCTCATAAAAGAATCATGGAACCAACTGCCTACATCTCTTCAAATTTCTAGACGTATTGAAAATCATGACAGAACACATGGCAGCGATACTACTTTCCTTGTTTGTTTGTTCAGTCGTTTAGTCGTGTCCGACTCTTCGTGACCCCATGGACCAGAGCACGCCAGGCCCTAGGAAGCTGGATGTCTTGGGGTCGTCGTCTCTATTCCCTTGCCTCTTTTGTCATGAGGGTTTCAAATTACCAGGCAGCTATGGCAGCATATCAGAGGCAATTGTGGAACAAAGATTTACCAGTTCTCCAAGCCGCTCTCCAATACTCTCAATGCTCACCTAGAGGCAATGACACTGGCTAAACAGCAGCGTTTAACATCCCATCACATGGCTGATGCAGCATCTAAGGCCATGACTCAGGACGGAGGCAAGATCTGTCATCCCCACCTGAAGTCGCTGCACCTGACGGTATGGAGGATTCTCCCAGTGTAAAAGAAGTGCTGGACAGAGCTAGAAAACCTTCTGCAAAATTGCTACACTCTTATAAATGGTCTGTTTTCACCAAATTTACTGCTTGCAGAGGTCTTCTGGCTGTTCCAGTTTCGTTGGATATGCTTCTGATTTTCGTCTGTTAAGCTGTTTGATCGAGGTCTGGCCCACTCAACATTATCAGCTTGTAGGTTAGAAGCTTCCCGCTTATTTTCACCCCCGACCTTAAGGGGCTTGCGTAACATTTGCCCGCCTGTCCAGCCTCCACTCCCTCAGTGATCTCTCCAGGTCGTTTTATGGCCTTTGCTCACCTACCTTTTGAGCCCTTAGCTTTTGATCATCTTAAACATCTCTCAATTAAAACATTCTTTCTTGTGGCTATTACGTTTGCACAGAGAGCAAGTGAGTTGACTGCCCTTCAGACTGATGCCCCTTTTACAGTGGTGCCTTGCTTGACGAGGATAATTCATTACGTTCAAACCGCTGTTAAGCGAAATCCTTGTCAAGCGAAATGAAAAAAGCCCATTGAAATGCATTGAAAACCAGTTCAGTGCG